ATCTATCTATCTATCTATCTATCTATCTATCTATCTATCTATCTATCCATCCATCCACCCACCCACCCACCCACCTACCTGAATTTTCCCAGCCCTAGACCAATACTTTAGCCCCTACTAAAGCAGGTAAAACATCCAGATGACCCTTAGGTGGCAGTTCTAAAATGTTCTTAAATGTTCTGCATCTCTCTGCTGCCATCTAGTGATTGTCTAAATCAGCGTTTCCCCAACTTAGCCACTTTAAAATGTGTGGTTTTCAACTCCCAGGGGAATTCTGGGAATTGTAAGGCCACAGACATCATGAAGTACCTAAGGATGAGAAACGCTGGTCTGGATTCTTACAGCTCAGATGTGGTAGCCCTGATCCATATACCACACCAGGTCTTGATCATAAGCAAGACTCTCCTATTTTTTTTTCTCTATTGAGAACCACATCACTTTTGGTGTAATCTACCAGAGTTGCATGCAGATGCATTCAAAACTCAAAACAAGAGAATCATCCCTTTCCCCTCTTTTTTGGCATTCCATTTTTTTGCTCTTGCTTCTCAAAATGAGGTTTTGAGTTCAACAACTCTTCCTTCAAAGGGTGTAAGAACAAGGATAGCAAATGCTGGCTTCAGGTGTCTGCCAGAACCGCTCTCTGGAAATGTTCCTCTAGATTTCTCTAGCAACCCTTCCTTCCTCCTTGAATCCTTTATGTTGCTGGGACTTGCCTCACAAAGGATGATGCCAAAAGAGAAGAGGTCCACTTTCTCATCATAACTTCTCCCTGCAAAAAGATGACAAAAGACGAAAAAACATATTTAGCTATCAGGCCCAGATGTCCTAGCCAAGGGTTGACTATTGTTTGGAGTTGGTGAGTTCATCTAGAATGTGTAAAACAGCTCATGGGTGCTCCTACAAAATGGCTTCCTTAAAGATCCATGAGCTCTCATGATAATCCGTCCCAAAATAGTTGTAAGTGAAATTGCCCCTTTCTTTTGCTGCCCATTTTACCTTAGTTTCAGTGTGCCCAGAAACAAATATCTCCTTTTCCTCAAGGTTATTCCTTCTGTGCATTATATAGAGGTGGCTTCCTGGGCAGCTTCCCAAATATGATCCTTGTTTCCCTTCTTGCTGATCACAATTAAGCCAGACCTGGTGAGGCTCTATCCCAAGAGTGAGGAATGATGGCCCTTTTATGACTTGTGGACTTCAACTCGTAGAATTCCTGAGCCAGCATTCTGGAATTCTGGGAGTTGAAGTCCACAAGTCATAAAGGGGCCATCGTTCCCCATCTCTGGTCTATCCCAACCCTGAACTCTCCTGCTCAACTCACCATTGATCATCTCGGGAGCCATCCAGTAAGGGTTGCCCACCACAGTGTACCGTTTCCTTCGGTCAGGTTTCTTCAAGTTTGCTAGCTGGTTTTTCTCATCCACCATCAGCCGAGCAAGGCCAAAATCGGCCACTACCACACTTTTGTTCTGGGTAAAGGAAAAGAAAAAATCTTTTTGTCCCTTTCTTTTAATTATCCAGTGGATTTAGCACTTTCAGTTTACAATGCTTTAATGTTGTTGGCAGACAAGACAGTGTTTAAGAAAAGAGGAAATACCATTTTTGTTGTTCTCAGTGTCAGCTTCCAACGATGTGGCTTGTATTTTTTTTAAGCAAAACGAATATCAGCTGAACCTGATTATTTTAAACATTATTTATGTTATAGAATGTTATTTTGAAATGAACATATTTTATATTCAATTTATCTACTATTATTATTACATTTGAAGTGTTACTACAGTTTTTAAATTAGCTTTATTTTTTTCATGGATTGAGGGGGTTTAATTCAACTGAAAAAGACAAAGTTCTTGTTATCCTTGTTACAGAATGTTAACAACTAACGTTTACTGATTATGTGATAAACTATTATCAGATATTGGAGAGTTCCAGGTTTGGGCTTCGCATTTCTAATAAATATATATCTCCAGCATTTCCACTGGTGAAATAGGTAGTAGAATATCTACAGGCTTTGGAATATCTACAGAAGTGTCCATGTTGGTAGATTTCAGTATATTTTATCTATTTTAAATTTTCATCCTGTCAAAATAGAAAATGGTTTTGTGGGGAACTTCCGGTTTGAGCTTCTTTGGTGACAGACCGAAACCTCGTCTCTGCGAGGTTTCAATCTGTGCTCACCGCTGGAATGCCCCGAGCTGGCTGGTTTCAGGGCTAAGCCACCCCATAGAGGTAGTAAAGAAGGGGGAGACTGCCTGCAGGGTTGAGGAGAGCCGCACCTCTCCTCCCCAGCTGGCCATTATTCTCTTTCCCGAAGGCAGTTGTAGCGGTGGTCAGAAATGGCCACCACAAAGAAGAACTCAACCAGAAAAAAATATGCAGGAGGAAGATAAGAGAAAGTTTTGGCTGACTGGGTCAAACAGCAAAAGCAACAAATAAGGTACCTTGGAATTGAAACTATTTTAAAAAAAACCCAATAATATTGTTCCCTAAGGAGATTTTTAAGCTGTGAAGGAGAGAGAAAAGGGAAAAGATTTGGGTTTTCTTTCTTCTTTTCCTATACTGACAGCTAAGAGACTTAAGCAAGAAATTGGAAAAAAATCTACTTTGACATTAATAGGCATTTAATGCTGAAAATAAAAAGTCAAAGGGATAATAAAAGATTTCTGGATAATCAAAAGCTTTTGAAAACAGGAAAGGACAGAAAAAGAATAAAAGGGCAGGATCTGGAAGGGAGGAGACTGCCTGGAATTAAAAAGAACTTACAGTAAAATCTCAACAAGACTTCCAAAAGATACAGTTTAACTGAAACATCACAACAAAACAGTAAAACCCCAGGAAGAGAAAGTGGAAAAAGAAATAAGAAGAAACAGCCTGGGACTATTTGGATTACTTGGTGATCTCTGGATTTTTGGTTATTATATTTGAATGACTAAAATCAATCTGGTGGTTGTTTAAAACTGTTTAAAATGGCTCCACTTTTAGAAGAACTGAAAATGTACTTTAAAAGTACAAAGAAGATGCACAAGAAAGGAGAGGTTATTTTGGCTTTGTATTTCAGTTCTTAGAAATGGAGATTTGGAACTATGAGAAACAACAAGAAATGCCTGCAGAACAAGAAGATTGTGACAAAGAAGAAGCCATCTTTAATGAACAAGTAATCTTAGATGGGGGGGGGGAAGGAAAGTGGGGAAAGAGAATGGAAAGTTTAAGATTGGGAGAAACAACCCAAAAAAAGAATAGAGTGAAAATAAGTATAAAATCAGAAAGCAACAGAAGAGGGAAATGCAGAAGAAAGAATTAGAAGTAGAGAGACAAGGGGGTAAAAAGGGGAGGGAAAAAATGAGAGGGAAGAAAGAAAGGAAAAGAAGTTATAAAGGACAGAAACAAAATATAGAGAAACAGGGCCTATTTAGAGATAATGGGTGAAAATTTAATGGAAAAAGGGATTCTGCAAAGGTACATAAGATAGTATGGTTATATTAGAAGCAGAAATAATTTTAGAAAATATGAAACAATGTATGATTAAAATGTTTGATAAAATTGCTATCGTAATTCAGTGGAATGCTTGTCAGTAAATAAATGTAACAAAATGAATATTTAATGATTTATAAAACATATGTGAAGAGAAATAAGGGAAAAATTAATTATGGAGATTATAGGTGTCTTTAAGGAAGTATGATATTTAATTGAAAAGAAATGTTAAAGATGTTAAGATTTTAAGGATTATTAATGATAGAACTGAATTGGAATGGAATGAGGGTTTATAATTATATATATTTATAATCCTTTTTTAAAAGAATATAGTGTGTATTATAAGAATGTACCAAGCAAAATTCGATTGGAAGTTATGTATTATGTATTATATTGAAGGTCATAACCTTAAGGTATATATTGAAATTTAAATAAGAATTTAATGGATATAATTAAAAGATATAAAGGTGTCATATTCCAATTAGTAACTACAGGAGAAAATTCATTTAATGAGAAAAGATAATATGAAATTGAAACAGAACAGACAAAAGTATAAATATAATTATTTGAATTGAGATGAGATAATCAAAATAAAATTGAGAAAATTAAAAGAGGGGAAAAACTATGTAGAAAATGTAGAATAATATAAGATATGGAATAGAACACAAAAAGGAGCATGAAATTGAGTTTTGTGTCTGTATAAAGAAGTTCAACCCGGGACCATGCTATTTTCAAAAAATACGTTTTACTTGTATTTTGTATGTGTGAAAACCCAAATAAAACTTTATTTAAAAAAAGAAAATGGTTTTGTGGGATAATAGCTGTAACGCTAAAAATATCCTTTGCGTGTACATAAAAATCAAGGAAGTATTGTCACTTGCTATATCTAATATTTTTACATGGGTTTTTGTTGTTGTTGTTGCATACATACCAATCACACTATTTCCTTTTGGAGTAAGCAAAATTGTGCAAGCCAAATTTTGTAGCCAAAAAATATTTCAAGAATGAGATGAGAAAAAGAGAGGGAAATAAGTCTAATTTACACTTTCTGCAACCACAACTCTCTCTCTGCCTTTCTGATCCTTTTGACTCCTCCACTCATCCTCTACTGTTTTCATTTTGCCATTCAGTCATTGTTCATTTTTCCTGTATGATTAAACCATCTCAATAAATTCCTTTGCCATTGAAATTAACTGTTGCATTCAATCCATATGCATTCAGAACCCATTTATTTTTGTTTTATTGGTTCTCTACTCTTACTGTTTTCAACTTTTCTCCTTACATATTTCCACATAACAAAATGAGGAGAAAGTTATTTTCACTTCTTTTTCCCCCCCCAAACATTTCTTGAAACAGGCTTCTGTTTCTGTCATTACTTTCTAGTTTGTAGTGGTTCACTTTCTTTAGATCAGTATTGAACATTTAAAAATTTCTCCATTCATTGTTTGTTAACAGAAAAAACTGAAATCAAGTTATTATTTATCAGTAACATTAGTCCCTGAGAATCTGAAGCCAAACAAAGCAAAATGACATCTAGAAATGTCATGAAAAACCCAGTAAGTTTTAACTCTTACTTTGTTTGATAATGTAATTATAATGTAATTATTAAAATACATGGCATGTATTTTGCCTAATTCCTACCCCAAGGAATTTTTTTTTAATTTTACTTATGAGATAGGAGTTGCACAATTATTGTTTTAGGAGGCTGAAAGTATTGTAAAATTTGAGAATCCTGATATGAAATGAGACGATACAAGTGTCAAATCCTGGGGAAATTAGGAGATTCAGACAGTTCAAATGAGCATAAAGTTTTATTGCAACTTTAAGCTCTCTACAAAAATCTGAGCTACCAATCGTCAAGGGAAATGAGCAGGAATTAAGGAGGCATTCAAGGTGGGCTGGACTTAGATCTGTTGCGGGCATGCAGGGACTCATCACTTGTGATACATTTGACCCCTCCCTTGGGCTCAGCCCCCTTGGGCTCAGCCCCCTCGGGCTCAGCCTGGTCATTTCCTACAACAAGGGTAAGCAATATTCTAAATAGGTATTCTCCCAAAAGCTGATCATTGAATTACTGTAATTCATTTTCTAAATCTGTAGAATACAATTGAAGTATAAACTAACCAACCAGCTGGATTTACAGAACGTATTAAGCCTCCAGACTATAACAATAAAGCTAACCACAATTGGATCTCATTAAGTTTAGTATGTGATACACATAAAGTCACTAAAATTTTAAATGATCTAGTGGTATGTGTACATCCTATACATATTTAACCATTTTATTTAGCCTTGAGAAAAGCAGAATCAGGGGTGATGCAACAATATTGAATGGATATCACACTGAAAGTATAGAGATCTTAATCATTCCAGAGTGGAAAAAGTGGAATGATAGGGCAAATTGTCATTTAAAGTTACAAATTTTGTTTTAAATTATTAAGAGCAAATTTGATAGTGGAAACATTAATGAACTAGCAGTGGATTCTTCTTTATTGAATGTGTTCAAGCAAAATTGGGCAGCCAAGTATCTGAAACACTTTAATTTGGATTCCAGCAGTGGACAGGGATTTAGGCTGAATAGGGTTGAATTGCCTAACAAATTTAACCCAAGTCTAAATTGGGGCTTCTCAACTTTGGCACTAGCTGGGGAATTCTGGTAGTTGAAATTCATACATCTTAAAGTTGCCAAAGTTGAAAAATTAGAATTAGAATAACAGAGTTGGAAGGGACCTTGGAGGTCTTTTAGTCCAACCTCCTGCTTAGGCAAGAAACCCTACACCAGACAAATGGTTATCTAATCTTGTCTTTCAAACTTCCAGTGTTGGAGCATTTACAACTTCTGGTGGCAAGTTGTTCCACCGATTAATTGCTCTAATTGTCAGGAAATTTCTCCTTAGATCTAAGTTGCTTCTCTCCTTGATTAGTTTCCACTCATTGCTTCTTGTTCTACTCTCAGGTGCTTTGGAGAATAGTTTGAATCCCTCTTCTTTGTGGCAGCCCCTGAGATATTGGAACACTGCTATCAAAAGCAATAGCTTAAATGGTTTCTTCCAACTCTATGATCCTGTAATTTTATATACAATTCCCTCTTTCAGCTTTCAGGAAGGTAAACAACAAATCAGTCTTGGATTAACTTCTGCCTGCCCCTGAGAAATCTACCTGTTAATTTGTTAAAAGTGTAGGAGACAATAGAGGGAACAAACCTGAACTTGGCTACTAGTTCCAAGTTCTCACTTTCTATTCACACAGTAATCTGAAACAAAGCAGAGATTTGGAACAAAATACAATCTGAAAACAGAGGCAGGTTTCTATGATCCTGCATCCTAAAATTTTATATATTTTCACAAATCAGAGATTGTTACATTCAAGCCCTATAATAATCCTCTTCTTCATTTGTTGTTTTTAGGGAGATGTTCTTAAAAAGTAAGGAAACTCTTGATAACTTACCTTCTCAAAATGTGATCAGCAACATTTTTTCCTTGCTTTTAAAATTGTTTTCAGCTTTTAAAAATCAACAAACTTAGAAAACCAAATAATGCAAATAAAACTTAAATTAATGAATGAATTAAAAATTTGACCAGTGTCAGCTTACTTCTCGCACAAGGCAGTTGTGTGTATTGAGGTCCCTGTGAATGATATTCATAGAATGGAGATAAGCCTGTAGAAAGAAATGAGAACAGAAGAGTTAGAAATGTTATTTTTCCATAACTCCTTTCTTTTTTCAATGGATATGGTTGACTTCACTTCATACAACACTGCTAGATGCTCTTTTACAGGAGGCTGAGTTGTTATTTTTGAAATGAAACCTGACCTATCATGTAGCATACAGGTAGTCCTTGAGTTATGACTGGTCACTTAGCAACCGTTCAAAGTTACAATAGATTTACTGTACCTTAGGGCTACTTATGACTCAGATTTGAAATTCGAATAATCACATGACCAAACTTCAGAACCTTGGCAACATGGCCATATTTACGGCCATTTGCAGCATCCCACTGACATGTGATTAAGTTTTACTACAGTTTTGCCGAAAACTGGCACTTCCAGTTTTTGACAAAACTGCACTCATAGTCAACCATTGGTTTGCTTACTGATGTTAAGCGGCATTCGCTTAACAACTTCAGGTTCATTTAATGACCAATGCAAAAAAGTTTGTAAAATTAAATTGGTCAATGACCGACCTATTTATATTGTAAGTGTATTTTTTATTTTAACCAAATCTATTTCACCCACCTTTATTCATAAGCAGGTAAAAATGAACCCAACTAAATCAGATTCAAAAAGTCCACACAATCTAGCATTGTGCTCACAAGACTGGTCAGTAAGTTATTCTGGAAAGCTCACAAGTAACATGCTGTGTTATTTTTACCAAGCCTAAGTTGCCTCAAGTTATGGAGGCTTCATTTGGTGAGCAAACCTCATGGATTGCTCACATACTTCTACAAGTTAGTGAATAAGACAGAAAGGAAATTTTAAAACGATTCCTGCAAGGTGCTTTCCTGATGCCCCACACTCTGCTGCAAATTCATGCTCACACTCACCATCCCTGAAGCGATGTCTTTTGCAAAACTGACCCGCTGGCTCCAAGGATACTGACTATCCTGGAAGAAAAATGTTGCTAGTGAGTGAAATATTTGGAAAAGTTGGGGTGAAACCCATCTGGAGCATCTCACTTCTATCAGGGTGTGGAAAGAGTAGCAGGAAAAAGACTTTCCATCCTTTTCATGACTATGTTCACAAAACACACTTTGCTGGTTACTGAATTAATCATGTTTGCACAATACTCTAAATCAAAAACGTAACAGAGTTATTCTGTCTTTTGATTCACCTGCTGAATATAAAGACAGAATAACTCTACAAATTCTTCCATACAAAGTTTCTTTTATTGGATTATGTTAGGTATCCTCAAGGTGACTCACAGTTATGTCGAGATGCATCTAATGTCAAATTCTTTGCATAGTTGAAATTGTAATGTAAAATGATAGTAATCTTTCTATTCCATATTTCATCCCATAATAGTAGATGCAGGGGGTAGAGATGCTACCATGAGGCTGTGTTCAGGCAAGAGGGAAGAAACCTCCCCCAACCTACCAAGGGTAAATTCAGTGACCAATCAGGGTTACAGATGTGGCCACATGACATGGACTACATTTCCCAGGATACCTTAACTACATTTACCATGATGCATTCCCTTAAGGGGACAGCTCTCAAATCCCAACTACCTATCCCAAACCCCATTAACTCTAAACTGTCTGGATAGCACAAGAATATTATCAGCTAAGCTTAGTAGATTGTACACATGCAATTGTGAGATCTTCATTGATAACTAAGAACATTCAGTTCAGGTTCAGACAGGGGAATAATATTGGTCATGCTTGATGATGACTTCTGGGAGAACTAGGAGAGAGATAGTACAACCATCCCAATTCTACCTGATCCCTCAGTGGAAGAGTAGTTCTCTTCCTTTTTATACGGATGGGTCCAGTTGGTCTTGACAGTGGAGAAGGAACAGGCTTAGGCCTAAGCCTGACAAGACCATGTGGGATTTCCTGATTGTGGAGTGCTTCAATCTTTGATCCTGAATAGGATTGCATTTCTCTTTGGGTTTGGTGGGCAACTTAATACTCTCTGGAATTCATAGTCTGTGCTCAACCAGCAGTGTTTTAACATGTAGTATCAATTATGCCATGACGCTAAGTCAGTTTGCTTGGCCACAACATGTTACATGAACACAGCTATTGTGTTTTATTAACCCTGGGTTACTGTGTTGTGTGAACCCAGCCAGACTGTCTCTGTCTCTGCTGCTCTCCCTTCTCCTGTTCAGATGCTCAATATTCTCACATTAGATCTGATGTAGGTTCTATGTGCTCACCATGCTCTTAATGAGCCCACGAAGGGTGCCTCCCTTGATGTACTCTGTGATGAAGTTCAGCCTCTTGTCTTTGTAGAGGACTCCAATAAACCTCAGCACATTAGGATGTTCCAGGCAGCGCATTACCTTCACCTAAGGAACAAAACCACCAGAAAGTTAATCCTGCATTGCTCAAAACCTCTTGACAGGAAACTACGGGGCATACAACATCAGGAAAAATGTGTCAATTTTGTAAAACATTGGGCTATTACCTGCTTGTCTGTAAGCCCTGTAGCAACTACCTAAACTTTGGGGACATCACAAAATGAAAGATTTTGGCAAATATTGTGGAGGAACAGCTTGTCGAAGAATGCTATAGAACAGTATATGCTGCGTATGAAACTTAAATCAGAAATCCTTGCTTACAGTGTCAAAATACTAGAGATCACCATACACATTTAAAGAAGAGGGACACAGATTTAAATTAGGTAACATTTGATGTGTGGAGTAAAAAACCAAAAACTTAAATGATACTAATAAGAAATCAACAGAAAGGAAACTTCTCTAGCCAGTGGACTAAGCTGGAGCAACCAACCTCTTTAAGAAATGTTCTTTGGGTCTCCTCATCAAAACGGATAAGTTCCTTCATGACCATCACTTCTCCAGTTTCCCGATGGGTCACCTGATGAAGAAAGCAGATGGCATTTAGGACTTTATTACAGGAGGAAACATTTAGAATCATACAGTTACAAGGGATCTTAAGGGTCACTGTAATGGACTGTAAAAATAATCTTGAGAGACAGGAAGAAGAGCCGCAATCGTCTGGTAAACGAAATACAAGTCCAACACAGAATATAATTTGAAGTGTCACAGAATTGACTCGCCCTAATGTGCTCTAAGATAAAGGCAGGGAGGAGAGGCACACTAAGGATTACCTTAGTACAGGGGTCTCCAACCTTGGCAACTTTAAGCTTTGCTGGCTGAGGAATTCACAAGTCCACAAGTCTTAAAGTTGCCAAGGTTGGAGACCCCTGTCTTAGAAGACACTAGTTTTTAATGTATGCATAGATCAATTTTCATTTTCAATTTTCTAGGGTAAGCTAAAATAATGCAATTATGTTCATGTATCTGCTAGTCCAATCTCCTCCTGAGTCAGACTTTTAGAGACTGAGTCACTGAACAGTGACGGTGCAACATAGAAATTCCATCAACAGGCTGGCGAGATCAAGCCATAATCTAGATCCAGCTGGTAGAAAGGGCACAAAATACCATGCCTGTATCTTCTCAAATGTTATTGTTTTATTGTTTTTAAAATAGTGACAAAAAGAAAAAAAAGAAAAACACAAAATTAAAAATGCAAACATAATTAAAAAAAACATAAAGGGGATTTTTTTTAAAAAAAGTGAGATAAAATACAGCAAAAATAATATGTATACCATTTTAACAGTAAACTGTGATAATTCTATAGAGGTACTCAACTTACAACCATTCATTTAGTGAGCATTAAAAGTTACAACAGCAATGGAAAAATGTTATTTATGACCTGTCCTCATACTTACAACTGTGATAGCATCCCACATAAATCATGGACTACCAGTATATAAAATAGTTATCTAATGTAACTAGCTATTAAGGAAATCAATCCTGACTGCTCTTTGGAAGGACACATACTGAAGCTGAACTCAAATACTCATTGGAAATACTCATTGGAAAATACTCATTGGAAAAGATCCTGATGTTTGGTAAGGGCCAAAGGAGAAAAGGACAGCAGAGGATAAGATGGTTAGATAGTGTCATTGATGCAATGAACATCAATTTATGCAAATTCCGGGAGACGATTCCTGGCACCAGTTTGGGGGGTTCAGATAATTTAACAACCGGTTTGCCCAGGGTCAGGTTGGCTGTCATAGGAGGCGTGGACCATCCCCATCCTCCAGCTCGGCCCTATATGTGGGACGAGCCTCCCGTGATGGCCAACGTGACCCTAGGCGAATCAGTTGTTAAATTACACCCCCCAGGCTATCAAAGTGGATCGTGGGCACTGCGCTGCAATGGAGAAACGGGCAACGAAGTTGCCGGCAGAAGGGAAGGAGGAGGAGCAGGGAGAAGAAAGAGAGAAAGCTGCCTCCTCCTTCCCTCTCGCTGGCTGCTCTATTGCCCATTTCTCCATGCAGCGCAGCACCTAGGATCCAACTGAACAACTGGTTTGCTTGAACTAGTGTGAACTGGCTGAATACCACCATGCCAAACTGTGGTCCATGGGGTTGCAAAGAGTTGGGCATGACTTAACAAATAAGTGCAATACATACAGTATATATAACTATCTTTTTAAAATTATTGTATTTGGTGTAAATGTGTTCCATATTTCATTACATATATCTATCAATCTGCTCATAGGTGGCAAGTGCAATCAGTCCTCAATCCGTTGAGTAAATGGGGTTATATGTGTCTCTTCCCAGTGCCAGAATATCAGTCTTTTGGGCACAGTAGGGACACAGAGAATGCATTTACACTGTCCAGTTGCCACATTCCAAGCGCTTGGTATGTAATATAAAAAAATATCATTGTCTAAAAATTTTAGCTTTTGTTACACAATCGTATTTATACAGTCTACTACTTTTCCCAAAAAACTTTGTAAGTAAATGGCATTGTACAAAATGTATCCTTAATACATCCCCAGCGAAATGCTGTCCTGATACCATGCCTGTACCTTAATGGCTTGCCCGAAGCAGCCCTTGCCCAACACCTCGCCATGAATGAGATCCGAGGGGCGGAAGATGCGATGAAGACGGGAGACAACACGTAGTGATTCTGAGCGACCAATATCTTTCCTTTGGGAGGATGGGGAGCCCAGAGAGCTGGAACAAGGTGACTTATCAATGCTACAGCTCCTCCTGTGCAGAAGAAGAGAAATGTTCTTCTCAGGTGTACATCAGGCATGCTCTTCTCACAAAAGACCAATTTCCAGGTGCCCCAGATCAATATTTCTTGGTTCAGGGAGAAACTGGAAGACTTTCATCTTGAACAACTTCCAGCTTAATTAGGACAACTTGCAATTTACCCTCACCTTCTTTCGATTGGTAAAACATTACAAAATGGCCATTTTCACAGGAGTTGAATCTGCGCCCCTGTTCAGTTGTTTTGCTGTTGTTGTTCAGGAACCTTATTCCTGATGTTCTGCTGCTCAATGAGTTTCAACAAGGCCTCTTGGGCTCGCAGGCTCCCCCATTTCCTCCAGCACGGAATCAGACTTACCTTATCTAAAGAAACCAGTTTGCTGCATAGTCTGAATCATAATAAATTGCAGGATCCCATCTGAGTTGGTCACCAGGACCAGAAGTTTAGTCTTCTGAGCTTTCGGATTCATGCTGGAGCCCATCCTCGGGGAACTCCTCTCTCACCTGGAATGTGTGTGAGAGAATGTGTATCTCACATTCTCACAGCCCTGAGGATGGGCTCCAGCATGAATCCGAAAGCTCGGAAGACTAAACCTCTAGTCTGGCTGACTGACCCAGATTGGATCCTGCAACATTATCCTGGGACACGTATATTCACCTTCATTCGCATAATAAACTGGTTATGAACAAGACAAACTGGTTACCACCAGCAATAAGTCCTAGAAACAAGGCAGTTGACTTCTTTTCAATTACCAGAATTAAATTTGGATCAATTTATTAGCTAGAATTATTTCAAGATAAACACTTCTATCACAAATGTTTAACAGAGGCTTAAGGGACTCTCCTGGATCCAACAGTCAGTTGGGAGGCAGAGACAGAATGGCAATGCTTCTACGCCAGGCATGGGGCAGTATTAATGGAATATGTTGCAATAAAAGTAAAAAATAAATTGCAAGTTTGAAAAAAAACCTCCAACATTTTGATAGTTACAAATGTCCCTCTCCTTGCCTTAAGGGGAACACTGGTTACAACTGCACACCATAGTGACCACATTTGATAAAGCGACAGAACTGTTGACATCAATGGAGTCCTTGATGCTCTTTGAGCTTGGTGGTTTGGTTGCAGCCATATCATTACCCAACTAGGAAACAAGTCTAGTGACACTGACTTATTGACTCAATTCAAACCTGAGCTTATATATTCTCTTCTATTCTTGAGATCTACTGACCGCTGCTAGGATATAACTAATTCACAAACTTACTAAAGTTCCTTTTTTCTCAAAACATCTTTACTCAAGAAACCTAGAAAATGTAAGCACGCAAAGGAGCCTACAAGGAGGAATCTGATATACTTTGGAAAAACACATTTCCTTGGGTGTGTTGCTCACAAACAGATGGAATTGTAAATTATTAAGCAGAGAGGGACAGTGTATGAATAATACAGTTAGCCAGCTCCCTTAGCAGTTGTATCAGAAACACATTAAATTCAGTTAAACTTTGTGTGTGGGGGGAGAGTTTGTGGCATAAAGTGTTATACACCCCCAGTCCATTTAATTCGTTTCAGTCTGGTGTCTTGCATTAGTCTAGGAAATAAGTTAATTTAGTAAATATATAAAGGGCAATGTGTGAATAAAACCAACATGAGACTGGAAAATAGAAATGGAAGTTGGCCAAGAAGGCACCATCATTGGATTTGCCAGGGATTTTGCTCATAGTGGCTCCGTTTCTGCCTGTTTCTACATTTATAATTTCAAGGCAGCCTTCCTCAAACCAGATACCTTCTAGGCTGCCAACCTGGCTGGGGATTTTGTGAACTCCAAGTGCCTTCCCAACACAATCTTCAGGGCACTAGGCTAGGGAAGAGTGCGCTAACTATTTTCTAGTTGCATTTCTATAGCACAGTGATGGCAAACCTTTTTGTTGTGGTGTGCCGAAAGCTTGCATGTGTGCGTACCAGCACCCACAATGCAATGTGCCCTGCCCCTCTGTGCACACACATGCAACACTCCCGCCCCATCCCCTTACCTGCACTGCACATGCATGTGCCCCCCCCAGCTGATTTTTGGCCTGTTTGAGGCTGTATTCGCCCTCCCAGAGGCTCAAGGGAAGCCTCTGCAGCCTTAGGCTGAAAAACGGGCCTTCCGGAAATACCCATGCCTGTTTTCAGCCTCCGGAGTGCCTCTGGAGCCCAGGAGAGGCCGTTTCGCCCTCCCAGAGGCTCGAGGGAAGCCTCGGCAGCCTCAGGAGGCTGAAAACAGGCCCATTTAGGCACTTCCGGTATTTTCCAGATTCCCGAGGCTTCAGTGCCTTCCCTTGAGCCTCTGGGAGGGTGAAAATGGCCTCAAATGGGCCAAAAATCATCTGGGAAGCATGTGCATACGCAGTGCAGGTAAATTTGGCTGGGGTTTGTGTGCCCACACAAATGGCTCTGTGTGCCACCTGTGGCATGCATGCCATAGATTCGCCATCATGGCTATAGCATGAGAGCAAAAACTTTTCTCTGTAGGAGGGAGGGAGGAATCTACTTCAGAGAGCCATCTTCTACTCAATCCTTACATGACAGAGCGCTGGCGAATGGCTGAAGGGTCTGGGCAAGGTGTGTGGCTGGGCGAATGCAGGGGACTGCGCAGCTCTGAGAGAGGGCTGCTTTCAATGATCTCATGAGGGTCGTGTTCAATGGTCAGCTGCAACAGGCGACTGGTCTCTTGGATTAGAAGATCGATCTGTAGAGACAGAGAAGGCAGGCTATAGGAGAGAGGCAATACATCCTGAGAGGCACGGGCCCTCATTGTGGAAACAAAAACGAGAAGCAGATGATTGAGTCAGTACTAGAGGTGGTATTCAGCAGGTTCTGACCAGTTCTGGAGAACCGGTAGTGGAAATTTGGAGTAGTTTGGAGAACTGGCCAATACCACCTCTGACTGGAGATTTTACAGTATACTTTCCCTGCCACGTCCATCAGGTCACACCCACGCTGGTAGTAAAAAAAAACTGAATCCCATCACTGGTCAGTACTGACAAAAAAAAAAAAAATCACCTCATCCAGCGGGACATGACGAATTGGTGTGCCATTGATTTCCAGAATGCGGTCGCCAACATGGATGGAATTCTTCATATCGGGGCTTATGCAGTCTGGGTCTAATCTAAGAATACAGAAGGGGGCAGCAAAGGAGACTTAAGTTACTCTGTTCTGGAATATATGTAAGCCCTATTTCGGAAATCCGGAAACTCAGTCAACAAACACATTTACTCACAGGTTTGGTGAAAAGTAGTTTACTGTAGATTGTTTCCTTCCAGTGGGCAAACAACGGCAATCCCGAGCAAAGCCAGCGCTGAGAGGGAATGCCTCCCGGCGCCTTTTATGCCCCATCCCCTTCCCATTCCCAAACTAGCATCCGCCTAACTACTTAACCCCATGCGCCACCACCCCGCAATCCTAATCACATCTATATCCGATGCCCAGAACACACCTAACCCTGAAGTGCTAACTCCTAAGCCAAAGAAAAAGAAACCACAATAAGATGAGTTCCCCTCCTCATCGCTGGAACGTAATACAATCCTTACGCCCTGCAATTAAAGATAGTTCGACAGGAACTTGCAATGGATCCACATCGTTACGTTCTGTAACTGGAACAGCCAACAGTCCCGTGTTGTTTCAGCGAGGGGAACAGCTAGTCGAGTAGGAGGCACAGATTCGAAGACTTATCTCCTTCTCCCTATTAGGTGGCTGGCAATGTGTCAGGCACGATTAGTGAAGCCCGACAATATATCTTCCAAACTAAGCCTCAGGAAAGACATAGCATGCTAGAACTTTCTCTGAAAACCAGAGAAGGATCAAAGCACTTAGATTCCATCACCCTCCTCTTACAATCAATCAACATGATGTAGACCCTCATTCTTCATCCAGATGTCCTTCAGATGCGTTGGGATTGCAACTCCTAAGCCATTCAGTTTAAGGCTTCTAGGCATTGCAATCAACACATAAGGAAAAGGAGTTGTGAAAAGAACAGAACTTATTAAACAGTTCCATCTCTCGAATAAAATCAGGTTTTTATTTTGTCAGTTGCCCTTCTTTCTGACCTCCACACTCAGATTCTCATGATATTCTGCAGATAGTTTGATTACATCAGATATCACCTCATATTCTCTGAAAATACACAGTTATCTGACACCAAGAGTACCAGACAATTGTGTTTGACAAATAATTGAGTGGTTCCTTATTTCACAGTTACTTCCATGTAACAGCCTTGAGATTGGATAGACAGCTTGCAAATGTATGACTTGTATTATAGACTGATTGGTATCATACAATGGTAACTAATATTTGATATCTGACAGTTTAGGGAAATTCTTATTTAAAGCCTACCCCAACCAAAAATATGCCAGCGAGACTCAGAATAGGTAGATAAAAAAAAACAAAAAAAGAAATGCTTGTTAAATTTCAGATGTCAAAATGTTAAAAATCTACATTTGTAATGCCAAACTGTTGTAAACAGCCTCTATCATTCAGAACACTCCAGAGGTCTGATATGGAAAGCTACAATTTCTGAAGAACAACATTTCCTAATGTCTGGCAGTCTGTACTCACTCACGAACTCGCACAGTGTGTGGGTGCTCAGAACCTCCATGCTTGTCAATGGAGACGGAAAACCCTCTCTTGCTTTCGGAACACGCTGGAATAGACACCAGGGTAACCGTGTGTGGAATCCGGGTGCCGGGAGATTCTGGAAGCAGCTGATCCATCACGGGTGTCACCACCATCTGGTAATAACAGTGCCCACTGCAGCATGGAAGAAAAGGTACCACAAGCTAGGACATCCATTTCCAAACCTCAGGATGAAAGAGCCCAAGGCTACCACCAGAAACTGACTGAAGAATGTTTTAAAAGCTTGCTGAGAAACACCAATAGGTCTCCTCTGAAAGAGGTAACCCTCCAAAAAAAGAAAAAGAAAGAAAGAAAATGAATAAGGATTCTTCTCTTTTTCTTTCTTTTCTCTTTTTCGGCATACTTTTTATTCTCTATTTTACTATCCCTCCAGAGTTTAGTTTGTTTATAATTATTATTAGAATTTTCAAACCGAGCAAATTGAGGCCAATCTCTCCCCACCACCTACCTCCAATGTGTGTCCAATCTAAATTTACAGGGCCTTTGTTGTGAATTCAAAATTAGGGACGATCCCAATGATCTCATTCAGCCAAATTCCCACTCACCAGTACAGCTTGGATCGTTCCACCAGCGCGTAAGTATCTCCATCGCCAATGAACACCTGGCAGTTCAGGCAGCTGAAGCATTCAGGGTGATATTTTTGCTCCCCAGCCACCTGGAACAGGAACAGATAGACATGAGCTCTTGTCTCTCTTCTGGTACACACTTCTCAATCACCCTTTTTCGGGTGGTCCTTCCCACCATCCAGCAGTATCACAGAGCTCCTGTACAAAGGAAGAGTGGCAAGAGGCCAAAGATGATTCAGTCCTGAAACCCAACCTGAGCAGGCTCAGGCAATGAAGTTCTGATCCAGATGCTTCACATTGCCAGAGAAAGAGATTTAAGGAAATCATTGGGAGGATGATGAAAGGATCACATCTCAAAAAAAACACCCCAAAACATGCAGGTGGGACGCCAGACCCATGTAAAAACAGAAAAGACCAGAGAGAAGAGGCAGATTGACAATCATTCCTAAATCAAATGATATTTGGGTAATCCGCTAATTAGCAAAACATTCGGTTTGCACAAATTAAACAAACTTGCCCAAACTTGGACAGGAGGTTGGATTAGAAGATCTCTAAAGTCCCTTCCAGCCCTAGGATTTTATGAACAGATTTAAGTGGCTACTGATTCATCCATTTTGAGTTCATATAGCACATTGATTTATTTATCTATTAACTATTTTAATGCAATATAGTCTTCTAGAGATTCCTGGTATTTTATAGAATAAAAAATATTTAAAAAAATCAAATAAAATCTGCCCTGTGCCACCAAAGCCAAGCATTCTCCTCCTCCTCCTTCTTCAAATTATTTAAAGTGTTCAGTCTTCTGGAAAATGGAAAGTACCAAACAAACTTCAGGAGGAAAAGTGTTGTGAAGCTTATGCTAAGCAGCAATGAGTTCTTCCTCCTTCTCTCTTTCCTCTTGCTTCTTTTTGGGAGTGGGATTTTTAACAACCCTCTTTAGACTAAATGAATCAGATGAGTCAGTTCTGTTTGGTGTATGTGGTCCTTTAGATACTCCAGGACCAAATCATGAAGATGTTATAGGTTACAATCGGCAGTTTGAATTGTCCTTGGAAGCCAATGCAGAGTTTGCAGCACGACTGGACTCTGGCAAGAGCTCTGATGCTGGAAAAGATGGAAGGAAAGAGAAGAAGAGGGCAAGCAGCAGCAATGTGGCTAAACTCAGTTATGGCACTGATGGTACACCACTAGAAGATCTGAAGGACAAGGTTAGGGATCGATTGTTATGGAGAAAATGTATGTGGTTGTTAAGAGTCCACACCAACTTGATGGCACATAAGCAGTCAATAAGCCAGATTAATGTGATTATGTGATGATGGTGTCAGCCATCACTCCTGATGTACCAGTTCTAAGTCACGATTATCCATACTCCAGGTTCCTTCCTCAATACTCAGAGATTTTATTTGATTAGAATTCTACCTGAAGTCACTTTCTCTGCAGGAGTCCCTTGCACTTTCATAATTGTCCATTTACTGTCCCATGATATTGGCAGCTGTTTCACTTCTGTGTAGGTCACCACATACTGCTTGCAACTGAATCTCCAAGCTTTCTTAGTTAATAGTTTGCACTTTACAATGGAGCAACAGCTCTGCTGCCTTGGACTTCAGACTGCCCTTTTCTCTCTCTCTAATGCTTTCTTAATTTTTTCTCTATAGAAGTCTCAAGGCATGCCTAAGATCAAGCTCTTAAACTGCATTAGAGTTATTGCCTTCTTCCTTTCCAACTTGGGCTACTCCGATTCCAGCTTCCTGACTTATAGATCTTCAGATACAATAGTGAGGCATTTGGGGAAAGTAGTTCTATTTCAGTCTTGCTGAACTGAAACAGGGAGTGTGTGTGTGAAACAGAGAGAGAGAGGGAGAGGGAAGGAGTGGGAGAGAGTGTTGAGTAGCTGCTAAATATTGAATCTCCCTGGCCAACTGATTGTAGTAGACACTCTTAACACTGTAGATCAGCATTTTTTAACTTTCTGAGCTTTTGGCAATCCAAACAGCTGTGCCTGGTGAAACCTAAGCAGGATCGTTAGATTTCTCCAGATCTTTCATGGAATAAGATCCATATTGCATTTAAAATCACCATTGTACTTTCCATAATGTATTTCTTTTGCTTCACATTTCCTCATTATCCTCAGACAAAATTACTATTACCTCATAATTTATTCTGGCATGTTTAGATCTATAACCATATGCTCCAAATGCTAAATGCCACGGTTGGGTTCACAATTAACGTCACGTTGTGGATTTCCTTCCCTTCTCTAAAAGGCTTTCTGTCAGTTTCTCCATATTTTCCATTAGTTCATCCCACAGCTGTTATTTTCTGTCTTAACTCAGAAACATTCAATTTCTTCCTCATTTCTGCAGACACCTCTGACTAGAGGACACCCACATAATACTCTCATCCTGGGATTGACCAACTATTCAGTTTCCCTTTTTGGTTGGTGGTTTCCCATAAGTCTCATGACAGACAATCTCTTTAAAAATTTAAAGATAAGTGTTTCTTCACTTTGCCACAGAAACAATTTGATTCTTTATTGTACAATCCTCTTTAGATTCTATCTAAATTTCTTAAATTTCTGTTATATTCTCATAAACCCCCGGCAGACCTCTGAAGGGTAGACTGCATGTTCACATCGAACAAAAATGCTCTGGTGCTAATATGAGGTCTTTTTGTTTGTTTTCTGGCCAAGTAGTTACTTCCCTTTTGGGTATTCCTTTAAAATATGAATCAACAATTATTTCAAGCAGTGGCCACAATCATGTGATTTTTGCATGGTCAAAAATGCTAAAAATAAATGTGTGTGTGTGTGTGTATACATGTATGTATAAAATAAATAGGCATCTAATTAAAAACGGCCAAATTCTCATGCCAATTTGGCCATTCTTGCCAATTTGGCCTTCTGCTTTTTGCCATTTTAATATATTATTTTAAAGTATATTATTATTATTTAAGATAAAATATTTTTATTTTATAAATAAAATATTTATAAAATATTTTAAATAATAATATACTTTAAAATAATACATTATTATTTATTATTTATGTTATCATAGTAACTACCACCACCACTACTATGTGTATTATGGATATCATCCTACTCATTATCACCATCATTATTTTAGAGATTAGTGGGTTGCTATAGCACTTAGGTGCGCTACCAAGATCCAATTTAAACCAATTTAAAGATCTCAATTTTCTGCCTTTTGTGTATTACAAGTATGAAGTAGAGCGTTGCTTTAACCTATAAAAAGAAAACAACTCAACTATATTCACCTTTGTGCATTTCGATGAAAAATTAGGTTACTGGAGTACATATTTGTTTATTTATTTATTTTTATTACATTATAATTTTTTATTACATTATAAATAAGTTAAGGCAGTGAACATAACTAAGATTCCTTTCTCTTCTTATTTTACTCACAATGACAATCCTATAAAATGAGTTGGACTTAGAGAGAGTGACTGGCCCAAAGTTGTTTAGCCAGTTTTTCATGCCTAAGGCAGGACTAAAACTCACCATCTCCTGGTTTCTAAGCCAGCATCTTAACCACCACACAAACTGGCTCTTCCCAGAAAGAGAGAAGTCAAATGGACTTTGCATTTATAATAGCTGGGTTTGGACTCTGATGCTTCCTTTCCTATATTGCTCTTATAAAAACGAATATTTTCTAAAGCAACTGTTGTTTCCTTTGGACGTGCTAATTTGTCCATGACACATAACGCTTTGTGCGAAGGAGAGGTGGTTTGGCAATCAAACTTGAGTATAATTGACAATACTGTTTTGTAGTAAGAACAGAGTTAACTAACGAATGAAGACTAAGAAATGAAAGACAACCAGGAAACCATACTGAAAGTATGTGGAAACAATGCCTTGAGCTTATTAAAAGCAACGAGAACAAAGCTTGATTAAAGGCAGCAGTGCTAGCTAGTGCTGGGACCTGCTGTTGAGGAATAGGGCTTAATGGCTCCCTCTGTGCCATTTTCCCAGGTTCTCACCTGCAAATGTGCTATAAGCTCTGGAGAGAGGAAAAAGGGCATATCCTGTTCATTATCATCTTCTACCTACATGACTTTGATGGTTATGACGTTGGTGCCATGGATAGTCTATTTTCCCTCCAATACATGTCTCTTTTTTCTGTTGCTGTATTTAAGTAACCAAATATCAGATGAAAGGATTTAAGGAGATCTATGCTCCGGCAGTTGCCTCTCAATTTTTGTCTCCTCCCTCTGCATGCACTGGTTGGTTGCTCCACATCTATTCCTCCTCCTCCACCTCCTCCTCCTCTTTTGTTAGGTCTTTCTCTCCCTCTCTCCCTCCCTCCCTCCCTCCCTCCCTCCCTCTCTCTTTTTTCCCATTTCCAAAAAGAAAAGCTGAAAACCAATGGAAGGACCTTTAGATTGGACCTGTCCTTATGCCCTTTGCAATAGCCATAGCATTTCTGAAGTAGCAGCATCCAGAAAAAAAAAGGTTCATGATTTGGTTATATGCAGTTCTGAATCCGGTGCAAAGGTGTATTTCTTGCTCACTATTTCCACATCAATGGCCACAGCCAGAGGAAAAATATGCTGGACAGCCTTAGAGATCAGAGATGTACAAGCAGGCCTTCATCACTGCATCTTAACAATCCATATCCCTTTAAAGCTGACCTCTGAATTGCCAGACGAAAGGACAACATTATTAAACGCAGGGAACAATAATCACCGGAATTGTATTTCATGCAGTCAGTGTTACATTTTATATTTAAATTAAATAATATCATGCTGAGTTTTTGCCATGGCCCTACTTACTTCTTTTTTCTGTCCCACTTGCTTTTTGGATTGTGATCACTTGCATTGTTGCCCCCTCCACCCCAAAACCCCCCAGGTTATATCATTGAGTGATGCTCTCCATGGATGTCCTCTCTTACCATGACAAGCCCTTTGGTGATCTGCTCTGAGCAGCCATGGCACAGTTCCCCAAAGTGGGCCCAGTAATCCTTTTTGCAGTAGAGACGACCATCCTTCTCGTAGTACTGATGGGAAAGCAAAGCTCCACATTCGCAGCACCTGCAGGGACAATAAGAAAATAGGTTTTCAGCCTCAGGACTTTTAATGGAAACTTACCACGCGCAAAGCTTCCAAAAGCAGAGCTTGAAGGAGGCACAATCCCACAGGTTCAGAGGGGTTGTGTTTGACCAGCATGCTTAATTTAGACTGCTACTAATTTAGTCAGACCAAATTACTCTTGGATTCAGTAGCACATGCTTGTTAGGTTAAGAGCCACTGATTTGGGAAAAAGAGAAACCTTGTTCAGTTCTTCCTTGTTGCCTTGTTCCTGTGCAACACAGCATCTTGTGTCCTTGTGTTGTCTTACTCCAGTGGCTATTTCTCTTTTGCTTATACCAGGATCCATGAGTGCATCTTGGACTATTTAGCCAATTAGTGATTAGGACAGGTGTTATATGGCTGCCTTAGCACTAAGATTTATTTTTTAAAAAAAAAAACTGGAATACCATTGTTTCCCCACCATTATCTACTTCTACAATATTGTGTTTCCTTGGAAGACCAGTGGGCAGTGCAAGAAAGCTAATTTAGAAGTGTGACCCTAGAAATGTGTGATATATTGTATGAAATCTGTTTCTGGGTTCCATAGTACAGGTAGTCCTGGGCTTAACAACACTTCACTTAGTGACCGCTTGAAGTTACAATGGCACTGAAAGAAGTGACTTATGACCATTTTTCACACTTATGGCCGATCCAATTTTAGGGTGTATCAAATTTTTCAACTTTCAATTTCCAAACATTAGGGATGCTCAAAAATTGTAACATGTTTTCCCATGATCACATGATTTACATTCAGATGCTTGACAACTGACTCACATTTATGATGGTCACAGTGTCCGGGGGGTGGGGCATGTGATCACCTTTTGTGATCTTCTGACAAGGAAAACCAATGGGGAAGCCAGATTCTACTGGTTTGAACCAGTTCTATAGCACCAGTTGTTATGATTCTGCGCAGTTCGGAGAACTGGCAAATCTTTCCCCTGGCTGGCCCCGCCGCTCTTCAAAAAGAAGCCATGTACACCTAGTCACATGGCCACGCCCACCTAACCACGCCCACAGAACCGGTTGTTACAAAATTTGAATCCCACCCCTGGCCAGATTCACTTAACAACCAAGTTACTAATTTAACAACCGCAGTGATTCACTTAACAAACATAGCAGGAAAAGTTGTAAAATGGGGCAAAACTCACTTAACAAATTTCTCGCTTAGCAACATAAATTTTGGGCTCAATTGTGGTCATAAGTTGAGCACTACCTGTATATCCTGATTAGGGGAAGCTGCTTTGGCTAAGGATTTTTACAGAATACCTTGGAAGTAGAATGATCCCCCAGATCTAGAGTTAACAGTTTTGGGGTTCACCCAACAAGCTGATCTTGAAATGCCCCAGTTATACTGTGTAAATGTAGCCCCAAGTGCAATATTTTATGTCTTATTATGAAATGCTCTTCAGGCTAAGGGGGAGAAAATTTAAATGGCTAAACCATTGGACCATACTTCCCCAGGCAAGAAGCACTGTGAATTTAGCCATTATGAGAGTATTAAACCCAATTTTTCCATTTGTGGATTGCTACAGTTCTGTTTTTTTTGGATTTTTTAAATAATCCATTTGGGACACATAGAGAGGACTGCATACTGGCACAGTCCTGATCAAATTAAGAAGTATTGTAACACTATAAATATATGCGGTCCTGGTTCAATGAAGACATCTATCTAGAATATCTTCTTAGTTGACTGTTCCTTTCAGCTCAATGAGAGGAATCCATGCCAATAAGAGAAAGAAGGAACGTTAATTTCCTTGGAATCCTTTTTCGAAAGTGACCTGTTAATGTCCCCATGAAGCAGAGGATATGACAGCAGATTTGAGACTAATAATAGAATATATTTCTTCACTCATTCCTATAACTAATTCACGGCCATAAATTACAGAGGGGGACTCTAGATGTCTTTATACAGGATTTGGAGAAATTAATTGAGATAACCCAACATAAGTTCTGGTGGACAAGAAGAACCTCAATTTTTAGAAAGAAAAAAAAAAGGCTAGGAGCATGCAGAAGTAATCTCTAGTTTTATTCTTCTTCTGAGTATTTTACATGGGAGGGGCCAGACAGGCATAGCTGCTGTGGATTCTCCCGAAGAGAAATGACACAGGAGATTCACTTCTTATTTAGATGTGGCCTGTTGCAAAATCTCTGTTTTTCTTTTCATGCCACATGATGCACTGTAAAAATCCTGATAAGACCAAAGCAGTTGTGGGCAATTCCATTGCTGCAACAAGTTCTGTATCATGAAGTAGGATTAAGGTCACATCCAGAATCTCTTCCAAAACAGCAAAAGAAGCCATCTTGTCCACTCCGTTGAACCATTGCACCCATTCATATAACTCCTAGGAATCTTTGGGCCAGAAAGTGGCACTGTGGTTCACGGGCACCAAACTACTTAGGGAACATATGCTGGTCTAGGACCATAATAAATATTGTTCTGTTTTGTTTTACCTGTGATAACCTGGGACATATTGTGGTCCTTAGCTTCCCACTCCATTATTTTTTCTAAACCAGCTGGATTCCCAAGATACTTTTTCAAAAGGCAACTGGACTTCCTTTGTTTTTCCTTGAAGACCTTTCATTTCTCATCCAAGAAGCTTCTTCAGTTCAGACTGAAGAAGCTTCTTCAATGAGAAGTGAAATGTTTGAAGTCTGAGAAATAGGCCCCACATCAGTCAACAGGAATGCTGATTTGCCACCAGCTTATCAAGTACTTAGAAGCAAGAACTGGGTAGCACAAGCAAATGACAGCCAATAACTTAATAGCCAGCCATCAACACTCCCCAATGAACATCTAAAAAGTCACATACAACAGGTACCACATAAATAACAGGCACAGATACAGCACACTCTCTGATGGAGAGAAAATCCCTAAAGATGGGCTTCAACACAAAAGCTCGGAAGACAAAATCTCTGGTCCCAGTGACCGATCCTGATAGGATCCTGTAACATTTTCCTGGGACATTTATATTTGGCTTCATTCATTAGGTGAAATCTACTTTAGGCTTTAGACTATTAGTTTCTGTGTCCCGTTGTCCCCACCTCCGATGTATGGGTCACTTTGCATAGTTGCATATTTCATTGAATTTTGGCTAATTTACAAACATCTAGCTGGGGAATTCTGGGACTTGAAGCCCACACATTGTAAAGTTGCTGATACTGAGAAATACTCAATAATTATTTCTTCAAATAATATTACAAATGCATCTAAGTGTTGATTATTTTAATTAGATCCTTGAAACTCTGATCATTCATGCCGGTCGTGAATTTACCCTATTAGGCTACAGCTAAAGATATTGTGTGGAAATGTTATTTGCTGGGCAAAGTGTGTTGTTCGGACACAACCATTTTGTTCCAAAATGGATTTTGTCTATTACCATGATTTATAATTAACTGCAAGCATATTATCTGGTCGCTAAACACTCTCAGTGAACTGACAGATGTTGTGGCTGATGAATCAGCTGCCTTTTAGAATCTGCAGCTAATCAATTACATTCAAACTGCAAGGTAAGTACCCTTCTGGCAATGCCAATAGCATCAGATAATATGAAATGTATTATTTTTTTAAAAAAGAATTGTTGTAATGACTGACCAGATGCAAAGTGGCTCCTGAAAATATGCAAGGACTTAGCTCTCTTCTCACATTTTTTTGGAAATCCCATTAGTTTCCTGGTTCCGCTAAACCAGTGCACCAATTAAAGAATACAATAGAATAATACTTTATTGTCATTTTAAATGTACACTAATCAGCATACATTAAAATGAAATTTTGCTGCATTCAGCTCTCAAAAGATAACCATTTACACCTATACACCCACCCACCCCCACATATATGACATAGGAAAGCATCAGTATAAAAACATTAATTAATTAAAAATTAAATAATTAAAAAGTTAAACAGAGTGGTCAATGTCTGGAATACTCTACCTGACTCTGTGGTTTCTTCCTCAAACCCCAAAAACTTTAACCTTAGACTGTCTACTATTGACCTCACCCCTTTCCTAAGAGGTCTGTAGGGGGCGTGCAAAAGCGCACCAAGGTGCCTATTGTCCCTGTCCTATTGTTTCTTTTATTTTTCTTATATGTATCCATGTATGCGTAACTACTGTATGTTTTTACTTATACCTATTATCTTGTAAGCAGTTGACTAAATAAATAAATAAGCAAGCTGTAGCAATTTAACCACAAAACCCAACCAATTATTACTTGCCCTTTGGCACAGTGACAGGGAGAAAAAGTGTACAACGGTACCTTGGTACTCAACTGTTTTGAGACTCGTCCAATTAAGTACTCAATTCATTTTGCTGAGAAAATTTTGTCCTGGTACTCATCATTTGTTTGGTACTCAATGAGCAAATTAGAACTAGCCGGTTTTGGTTTGCCTCGTGACTCGCTACTTTTTCCACAGAAACAAAGAGGGACACGTTAGTCATGCAGTAGATCTTTCCATGTGTATATCTTTGCTTCTGTGACCCCTTCGTGTCCCCTTGCCATGTGCATATCTTTGCTTCTGTGACCATTTTGTGCACTTTTGCGCTCCCCTCCCTCATCAGTAAAAAAACGAAGCTTTTTTATTTTATTTAACCTAAGTATTTATTAATTCTTGGGTTTATTTCTCATGTAATGATATACAACCCCATCTTTTTACATATTGCCTTAAAATGTGTGTTGTCTTTGGTTTGGGAACGCATTAAATTTATTTGCATTGTTCCTTATGGGCAAAATTTGTTTGGCACTCACTGTTTTTGGTACTCATCGTGCCTCCCGGAACTAATTAATGACGATTACCGAGGTACCACTGCACTTGCTTCTGAATTTCCAGGTGAAAAATTCCTCTGCTTTTAGGCCATTTGAAGGCATCATCTCCTTGACTGTATTTTTCCCCCAACCCTTAACTTTATGTTTAATTTGAAATGGAGCTGGAAATAAGAGGAAAGTTCTCAAATATCTTTCGTACTGCT